TTGAGGCGGTGGGAACATAGCCAGTTTGAGTCGATTCGATCGAAATAGAGCACGCTTGGGTGGAAAACAGTGGAACATATTTTTACTTTGTTCGGGGCGTCAAAATATAGCCAGTTGGGGTCGAGTCGTTCGAAACATAGCAATCTTGGGCCGAACACAGTCGAACTATTTTTTCCTTTGTCGAGTCGTTCAGTACATAGCCAGTATGGGCCGAGTCGGTCAAAACATAGCACGATTGGGTCGAACACAACCGAACACTTTTTTACTTCGTTCGAGGCTGTCGAAGCATAGCCCCTTGGGGTCAATTCGGTCGAAATATAGCACGCTTGGGTTGAAAACAGTCAAACACTTTTTAATTCGTTCAAGTCGGTCGAAACATGTCCAGTTTGGCCGAGTCGGTCGAAACATAGCACGCTTGGGTCGAAGATCGTCGATTACTTTTTCCATCGGTAGACTCGATTAATACGTAGCATGCTTGGTTCGAGCTCAGTCAAAAAAATTTTCGTTGGCCGATTCGGTCGGAAGATAGCCAGTTTAGGTCAAAGCGGCGAAACATAGCACGCTGGGGTCGAAGACCGTCGAACACTTTTTTAATTAGTTCGAGTTGGTTGTGACTTGGCCAGTTTAGGTCGAGTTGGTCGAAACAAAGCTTTTTTAGACCGGATACAGTCGAAGGTATTTTTCTTTGGTCGAGTCACTCGAAGCATAGCATGCTTGCGATGAAATCGTCGACTTTTTTTTGGTACAGGTCCAGCTCGACAAAGCATAGCCAGTTTGGGTCGAACACAGTCGAACTTTTTTTACTTCATTCGAGGCGGTGGAAACATAGCCAGTTTGAGTTGAGTCGGTCGAAATAAATAGAGCACGCCTAGCTGGAAAACAGTCGAACACTTTTTTGCTTCGTTCAAGGCGGTCGAAATGTAGCCAGCTGGGGTCAAGTCTGTCGAAACATAGAAATCTTCTGCCGAACACAGTCGAAAAACTTTTTCCTTTGTCGAGTCGTTCAGTTTAAAGCCAGTATGGGTCGAGTCAGTCAAAACATAGCACGCTTGGGTCGGACACAATTGAACAGTTTTTTACTTTGTTCGATAGCCAATTTGGGTCGATTCGGTCGAATTATAGCACCCTTGGTGGAAAACAGTCGAAAACTTTTGTACTTCGTTCGAGGCGATCGAAACATAGCCATTTTGGGTCTGGTCGGTCGCCAAACATAGCACGCTTGGATCGTAGATAGTCGAACACTTTTTAGATTCGATCGAGTCGGTCGAAAAAAAGCAATTTTGGGCCGAATACAGTCAAACATATTTTTCGAGGCGGTATTTAGAATAAAGATATTTTTCTTTGGTGGAGTCACTCGAAAAATAGCAGGCTTGGGTCGAACATAGTCGTCGAACAATTTTTTCCTTTAATCCAGTAGGTCAAAACTAGCCAGTGTGGCTTGAGTAGGTCAAAACATAGCATGCTTGTGTTGAAAACAGTCGAACACTTCTTTCCTTTGGTCGGTTCGGTCGAAACATACCAATCTTGGACGTTACACAGTAGAACACATTTTTCTTTTGGTCGAAAAGTTCAAAACATAGCCAGTATGGGTCGATTTGGTCGAAACTTAGCGAGATTGGGTCGAACACAGTCGAAGAGTTTTCTCAATTTGGCTGAGTCGGTCAAAAGATAGCCAGTTTGGGTCGAGTCCGTCGAAACAAAGCCATTTTGATTTGAGTCACCCCAATTTGAGTCACTTCAAAAGCGCGATTGAGTCGATCACAGTCAAATATTCCTTCTTTTGGTCGAGTCGGTCGAAACATAGCTTGCTTGAGGCAAACACAGTCGAATACATTTTTCCTTTAGTCCAGTCGGTCAAAGTTAGTCAATTTGGGTCGAGTCGGTCGGAACATAGCATGCTTGTGTCGGAAACAGTCGAAAATTTTTTTCGCTTGGTCCAGTCGGTCGAAAAATAGCATTCATGAGCAGAATACATTCGATTACTTTTTTTCCTTTGGTCGAGTTGGCTGTAAGATAGCACTCAACAGTAGAATACAGTCGAACACATTTTTCTTTGGGTGGAGTCGGTCAAAACATAACCAGTTTGGGTCGAGTCGATGGAAAGTTAGCACGTTTGGGTCAAACACAGTCGATCATTTTTTTAAATTCGTTCGAGGCGGTCGAAACAGCCAGTTTAAATTGAGTCTGTCGAAACATAGCATGCTTGGGTCGAACACAGTCGAACATTTTCTTTCTTTTGGTCGAGTCGGTCGAAACATAGCAATCTTGGGCCGATCACAGTTGAACGCTTTTTTCCTTGGTTAAGTGGCGCGAAACATAGCCAGTTTGGGTCGAGTCGGTTGAAACTTAGCATGCTTGGGACGAAGACAGTCAAACAGATTTGTCCTTTTGGTGAAGTCGTTTTAAAAATAGCAGACTTGGGACTAACTCAGTCGAACATACTTTTTCTTTGTTCGAGTTAGCACTTGTGCGCCCGAGTGGAGATACCGCTCAAAAACCGCCAAAATTTTGAAGGGTTTGGGCGGTTTGGGCGGTTTTTGAAAATTCCGCTCAAACCCCTCAATTTTTGCTTTAAGAAACCGCTCAAAAGCCCATTATTTTTTGCGGCGGTTTTTGAACGGTTTTTCACGCAAGATTTGAGCGATTTTTGAGCAGTTTAAAACAAAAAGCGATTAAAACCATCAAAAAGCCGGGAAAATGACGCTGAGAACCCGAGTCGATATTGTTGTTTTTATAATCAGACGGTCGAGACCAAGTTTTGATATCTCCAGACTGCCGCGACTAAAATTGGACATTTTCAGTCGCGACCAAAGTTTGGTATTTCCAAACTTTGCGCGCTGAGGCATTGTTTCCGCGACCGGCGCCACCGAAGGAAAGTTAACCGCGACTTGCGCGACCAAAGGAATGTTAACTGCGACCGGCAAGACCGGAGGAAAATTGGTCGCGGCGGTCGAAAAATTAGTCGCGGCGAACAAAAAATTAGTCGCGGCATGGTAGAAAAATTAGTCGCGGCATGGTAGAAAAATTAGTAGCGGCATGGTCAAAAATTTAGTCGCAGCGGTCAAAAAAATTAGTAGCAGGGGTCGAAAAATTAAATGCGGTGGTCAAAAATTAGTCGCGGCGGTCAAAAATATAAACCCAGCATGGTCAAAAAATTAGCCGCAGCGGTCAAAAAATTGGTTGCGATGGTCAAAAATTTAGTCGCGGTTAGGTCAAAAATGTTCGGGGCGGTCGAAAAATTAGTAGCAGTGGTCAAAAAATTAGCCCCGGCTTGGTCGAAAAATTGGTGGCTGCGGTAGAAAATTAGTCGTGGCATGGTCAAAAATTGGTTGGGACCGGCCCGCCCGAAAAAGAGTTAACCGAGATCGGCGCAACCGAAAGAAAAATAACAGTAATCGGCGAGACCGAAGAGAAGTTAACCTCAAAAGGGAAAGACTGGAGAAAATCATTTCGAATGTGATCGGTTTCTGAGCGGTTTATCTAAAAAACGCTCAAAAATCGCGCAAGATTTGAAAAGTTTTTGACCGGTTTTTCTAAATAAACCGCTCAAATCTTGCGCGGTTTTGTGCGTTTTTTTCTTGAGAAACCGCTTAGAATGAAGCAAACTTTTGAGCGCAATCGTCTAAAAAAACCGCTCAAGCCGCTCAAATCTTGCTTCAAATTAGGCGAAAAATCGGGCGTCGAACACTATCGAACACATTTTTGTTCTATGGAGACTGTTGAAAAATAGCCATTTGGGTTGTATTGGCCGAAACATAAGTCGAACGCCTCAGCCTGAGAACTAACCTAGCTTTACGGTTCTGCTGAAATGAAGAGTCAACTGCTCATTTAAAACGAAGAGTAAACTGCTCGTTTAATAATTTGCTACTGCAAGTTCAGAGTGAACAATTTATGCGTGGAGAATTATCCATCATAGAAAATTGTTCCAAATTGAATTGAGACTAGTTAAATGGTCGTATTAACTCGATTTTAAACCCAAATTTCAAACTTCATTTTTGATATTTTCAGCCCAAAACTCATAATTTTTAATTATTTTTTTCAATAAAAACTTTTCAAGGCCATTTAAAGGACAGTCGGAGGACTATTCACGACTTTTCCCTGATATAGGATAGCAGTCTTAGGCTTGCATTATGTAATTGTGTTTTTTGTACAAATTTAATCGATTATTAAGGCATCTCAAAGCTTTTCTTAAAAACGTTTGTTGAGCCATCGTGCAAAAAAATATGGTTCAACAAATCGAAATTTTAATTAAATTTTAAATATTTCCAAAATGATTTTCTTTTTATTCTGTGTTTAATTAAGGAAATGGTCAAACACTTTCATTCAAGTAGACCATTTTAAGCGCTTTTTAATTTGTAAGTACTGAATGTTTAGTTTTTGATCACCAACATCTTAACTTTAGGGTAACCAAATCATCGTATGACTGAAAGGTTGAAATTGGCACAGTTTGACATAAGAAGAGAAAAACAAGTACGCTGGCTAAAGGCTGCACTGTCATAGAAAATTGATCAAAAAATACTAGGCAAAAGTTGTTTCTAAAAAACTTCACTTTCTGAAAACAAAACAAAAAGTCTCCAAATCTCCAAACTCCGAAAAAAAATTGTTGACAAAACTACATGAAATATTTTACTTTTTTTCAGCTAAGAATGTTTTAATTTGAAAATTTTGCTTGCTGCAGCTAAATAGTTTGTTCGGCAATATTATTACGAAGGAAGTTACTGGGCCTCAGATGCAAATGTCTAAGAACATCAAAAACAAAGATGTTAAAAAACAAAATCTCACCGAGATTTAAGCCTCTTATTTCTTTTTCCGCACACACCAAAAAATGCAGAGCAGGAAAAATGAAAATTTTGAAAACTTGTTGTAATTGGAATCTTGTCTTTCAACCAGCTTTTCCAGCAACCTTTTTTTGTAATCCTTATGTCATTTTGCAATATGTAGTTATGTCATTTTTTCATTATGTCGTTTCCCTTAAGTCACTTTCTATATCTGTGTTTTAGTTTCAGCGATTGATACTAAACGGATGAATAAGAAGAAGATGAGTGAAGATGACGTGACTGAAATGGAGGAGATGTTCACTGAAATTGCCAAGACAACAGGTCAGAAGAGATATGCTTTTTACACTTGATTGCATGATTCTCGGGTCCTAATTCTTTTCATTAAAAAACTTTTTATTTTGGTTTTGTTTCTAGCGAGAGTTAAATTGACAGTCCGAACTTATTGTTTCAACCACTTAACGAAATGGGAAGGAACTATAGCGCGGAGTGTGTTTTTCCAAAGTAGGGGGTTAGGCATGGTTTAATTTTAAAAACCTTTCAACGATGATTCAGATTACAAAAAAAATTGAAAAATTTGTCTTGGTGTCTAGCGTTAGCTTAATATTACCAAAATTTCGAAAATGTTTTCAATTCTCTGAAAAAGCTTAGTCCAGGCTAAAACTAAAAGGGCTTTAATACATGGTTTGACTCTTAAAATGTCGTTCTAGTGGGCCTCTTTTTGTGCGGAGTAAATCAAAAATTTGTTTATTTTTGGCCACTAGAGAAAAAATCAGATGTGACATGAAACTTTCTCTCTTGTTACTTCAATAAGTTGCGCTATTTAAAAACACAGGCTACTTGAATTGGTGGCACTCATTGATGTTCATGGGCGTGATCATAGTGTCGCTGCAGGACGGGGGAAATCTTATCTGGCCAGTGTTTGGAGCAGCCCACATTCCCCACAAGTGCAAGGTTCCAGGACTGGACCATCCCCAGTTCAACCAGACGCCACAGGCACTCATTTTTGGAACGTTTTTCAATGGTAATTAATGATAATAATAATTTTAAAAAAACAATTGAGAAAACACATTATAAAAATTTTCTTTCATGTCCACTCCCACCCATAAAAAAAAAACAAAAGGGATTTTCATGTCAAACAAAAATATTTGGTCCGCACGTACAGACGACTTCAACTGAAACTGAAAATATTATGATTCAAAAATGCTTGGAGCTGGAAAATGTAGAACAAAATTATTCGAGAAAAGAATGAAGCGCAAATACTTTCTCTTAGGCTGGAGGAAAATCCGAAATAAATATTAATAAATCCGTTTTCAAGAAGGGAACTGACTCGAATACCATTTAACATTAACAAAACTCATTACAAAAAAAAAACATTGTGGAAGAAAATCATACAAACTAGTTAATTATTTATCGAGGGGTGTCTTTATGAGTGAACCACAAAAAATCCAGTTGAATTTCTGACTAACAAAAAATTTTCATCGAAAAATCGTTATCACAGATGTACGCGATTCAGAACTGTATGCGATTCAGGTGAGCGATTCAGAACTGAATTTAGTTGACTGTTTTGACGATTCAGGAATTTTATAAGTAATTTTTTGTTTAAAGCATAGAAGTTATTTACTAATGAACGAATCCTATTTTTGAATGTTTTCGTATTGTGTCTCGTCATTTTTCTGGGTTTTGCAACCTGAATTTAAGTTTGCTATTCGAGAAGTTCTTGATCGCTGATTAGTTCATTGTTTAGTAAGTATGGGTGCAGTCTCTTTATCATTTTAGCCAGTAAATTCAGCAAGACTGCTCCTATCAAGACAAAGCCCTGAGTGTTCCATTGCCTTTTAAGGTCTATGGAGCAGTAATAACATGAAAATTAAATGTAATAAAATTAAATTAAAGTTTTTTTTTTAAAAGTTTGAGGTTTATTGTGAAAACATCCCCCACCACACGCCATATAAAGTACAAAGTGATAAATTTTGCTCCTTTTAACAAATCAATTATGGTAAATGAGCTTCCTTCAACCAATTTGGAACAATTTCTAAGATGAATTAAATCTCCGCTGAAACATTATAGCGAAACATATATCGCGCGTTAATTTCCCCAAATTGGTCAAACTGGCAACCTTTAAACCGCCATAATCCTAAGAAAAGCAAGCTCTGGGCAACAATAATTTTTGAATAGTATAAAAAAATTTCGTCAAAAATGGCTAGTTAAAAAGTCGAAATTTGTCTTAAGAAAAAAAACCACGCCGAGCACAATTATTCCGTTACTTTTGCTACAAAAGTCGGAACAATAAACCATAAGAATGCAACTCCCTGACGCAACAGAACCTAATTGTCCTAAGATTTCGGAGACTTTCTGTTTTCGCAAATTAAGTCAATTTCGAAGTATCCGTTTTTTTGATGTTTTTCAATGTTGTGGTTTTATTAGCAGTTCCATATATCATTTCATCATTCTAATATATGGTTGAATATGAGTTTTGTAAATGTTTAGAAGTTGGTTTTGAGTAAATATCTGACGCAAATGGCATATAATGGACGGATTTCGAAGTAATCTTTTAAAAAGTTTTTGAATATGCAAATTTCATAGACAGATGGTTAGATTCCGATTCTTAATTTTTCAAATCGAGTTTCAATTTGTTTATAATGATGAACAAATTGAAACTCGATTTGAAAAATTAAGAATCGGAATCTAACCATCTGTCTATGAAATGCAACAAGTTCTTTTTGGACAAAAGCTTTCCTCAAAATATTTATAGTTTTTATAAATACTTTTCTAAGATTGTAATTATATAAATAGTTTTTCAGATCCTGATAAGTTCGGCTGTAAGGGAGTGGGCTCAGAGAATGACAACGGCTGTTCTGCCCTCAATGCAGACCCTATCGCCCTCATCCGGGAGGCGGAACTAATGGACAAATCAGTCACGGAGTTACTCCGGGAACCCGGCCAGTCGGAAGTTCTGAGTGAAGCCAAGTATAGCCAGTGTGACGAGATGCATGGCTACGAGTTCATGCCAGATAACGTGGAAGACTCAGTTGTCTCGGAGGTAAACAAACCGAGTTTTGCAAAATAGCTTTTGTTTGCTGAAGTAAATTTATTTATTAATTTGCCCAATTTTTTGCAAAACGACCAGTTGACACTTTTACAAGGAAATTACTCACGATAACGAATGAATCGATATGCCAAAAGTTTAAGCTATCTCATAAACTATTCTAAATACCTGGCACTAGGCGCGGATCCAGGATTTCTCGAGGAGGGGGCGGATTTTCGAAAAAATTTTAAAGTTTTTGTCGACCTTTTTTTTTAGGTCGACCCAATTGATATTTTCTGAGCTTTCCCAAAACACTATGAAAACCCTAATTTGACCAAATTTTCTGCGCGTCAGGCAAATTTATGAAAAAAGGCCAAACACGGCGTTTCGACAAAAAAATCGGGTTTTTTCTGCACACGTTCCCCCCTCAAAATTAGTAGAGATTGGCGCCGAGGGCGCCTTTATAAAAACTTTAAGGTCAGCCAGTCAAAATTGGATATCTCAAAATAGTAAAAAGGGGGGACCCTTTAGGTCGGCAGGGGGTCGAATCCTGGCAGTAAATTTTCCGGTGTGATTTGTAAGTTTATATGACACCCAAAATGTAACCGCCTGAAAATGATATTTTTTTTATTACAATTGACATTTCCCTTAGGTTGCAAATGGAAAACTTGAACTTAAAAACTGAATAGTGAATTAATACCTGAAAAAAATATGAAAAGAATAGAATAGAGAATATAGATTTAGAGCTTCCGGAAGGCTTTCGCAACTGATCTTGCGACAAACGTACTTGACAAACATATAGACTGGTGGACAGTGTCCTTGAACAATTAACTGCTCTAAATGAGTTCTAAGATATTATTATAAATAGAGATATAGATAAATAGATAAATTAGAGTGATTTACCGAAGGTCGCTTTATGACATCTCCCACACTTGGAGAAAACTTGTCAAAGAACAAATTTTGACTTTTGACTTAGACAGAAGTATAATAAGCATCGTACATCAAGTTTGACACAAACATCAAAAGAAAGAAGAGAATTTTAGCAACTAGCAAACTTATTCGTTAAATAGTTGTAAAGCAAGTTCACAGAAGTTTCGCTTGAGTTTTCATTTTTTTTAATCTCTTTTTTTTCTGGCTCTGCAAACCGCGTTTTCTTCAATGGGGTGACCTGATCCTTAGTCCGAGGAAAAAATGAAGAGCATCCTTCGCATCTAATCAGGGCGAGCGGAGTAGGGTGATTCTGTTGACTTGATTTCGGCGGTGTGATTTGCTCCTGGGTGTTTGAATTTCAACACTCTTAACAGAATGGCTTGGAGGATCGCCGAAAAACCTCGTGGGCTTCTTGAACCGTCCGGACAACCTGTTCGACTCGCCTGTCCCCTGATCGTTGTTGCTCGGCTCTGTAGCGACGTCACCTTGGATTACGGTAGAAAACGACTGTGGCGCTTCTTGAATGGAAGTCTCTTGAGTAGGAGTCTCTGAAGGTGCAGATGATAATGCCTCTGACTCAACGTGTGCTGGCGTCTCCGGTGGAGGAGAAACGATCTGAGACTACCCTGGCTGCTGATGTGACTGCGGAGGCGTAGTTCCCGAGATCTCATTTAGCTTGAGAGATGGTCCAGCCGTAACTGAATCTTCACTCGATGATTCCGCCGTGAGGTCCCCCACCGTACCTCTCACAGATTCACTGACCTGACGCAATGCTGTGGACGTGGTCCTTTGTGACGCTGGTCTCGGGGCAATCCGTCTCTAAATCTTCTCACCAATCGTGCCTGGTCAGTCTGAAAACTCGCGATCATTTAAGTTTCGTCTAAGGCTAATGTGATTTTTCCGATATACTTTTCCCTCGTCAGCAGTGTACGTGTTATCCGTAATTCGAACAATCTTGATCTTAGCTAATTTGAACAGAGGTTTTCCAGAGTTTCGATCAATAATTTTTCGAAAGATTTCGACTCTTAGAGGAACTTCTAAAATTAGTTTTTCTAATTTACATGCTTTTGAGCCAGAATTGTGCCATGTATGCCCCCAACTTGTTGAACGATTGTACGTCCTTTTTGACGATTGCCGTTCGCATTGGTCCCAGAAACGGATCCTCCCCAGTGAGCTCTGCAAGTAAGTCCACATTGAAAAGGCCCGGGAGTCCAACAACTTGTCGTTTATCCCGCTTGACGAGAAGTTTGTGACCGTTGATAGCATGGATCCCCACCTGAACCACAGCGTGTTGTCGGGCTATTTGGCCAATCTCTGCCTCCGGCATTTGTTTGGCCAGTCCTTCTTTAGTAGTCTGTCCTCGTGCAATTCCAAAGCGGTCTTTGGAGTCTCTGAACCTGGCCTTGTTGCATGCGCGTATCATATCGATCCTTCTAGGTCGGTTTGCTGATCCGGACATCGAGGGCGCGGATCGTTGTTGACTGGAAGCACGAAAATTTGGGGAGGATGCACTATATTTTTCTACACAGTTTAAGAGAGTCGCTCGTTCAAGAGTACTTTTAGCTAAGTCGATAGTATTGAACGATGAGGTCGAATTATTGAGACTAGAGTTATTGATCTGAGAGGTATTCATTGCGAGACTTACCGATGAGATGTAAGGTCGGAGACAATTTCTCAAAAACATCAGGTCTACCATATCCAATTTGCATAACGGGCTGTGATTCGTCAAGCGAATTAGGGTTTTCCTCCATCTGCCCTAAGGAGTTCCACACTGTTGATTTGCACCACATCGATGGCCATAACACGGTAGTCCGGTTCGCTATCTTCTCCTACGTCTATGAAATCACATTCTTGGGCCAGTTGCAGCTGCTCTTGTTGTATCATGTTGACTCGGCGCTTTGTGGTTTTGCACATCTTAGCAAAATGTCCCTTCTTTTTGCAGGCATTGCACGTGGCCTCTCTGGCCGGACACGACCGACAATGTTCCAATGTAAACGGATTGCCACACACAGAAGTAACAAGATTTTGACTGACTTGGGCGTTGGTTAGACCGATGATGACCTCCCCCTCGGCCAATCTTTGATGGGTTACGGAACTGTTGTACCGAGGATGTAGGTTCTTACTTGATCCGTATGGAGTTAGTATTGGGTGTTGTCGATTGGTTGTGCGAGAGCAATTTTTGAAATTGTTCCGAAGTTTTCGCCCTTTTTCACTTTCTAACGCTACTTGCAATGTGTCTTCGAGGTTAACTTTTGCCTTGATTAACTGACTTTGTACATCAATGTCCCTAATACGACCAATAAATAGGTCTTCAAGCGTGGCTTTTTCCTGTTCTATAGGCCAATTACACAAGGCAGTTTGTGCGCTGCGACCTGAATAAAAGGAATAAAACAAGTCATCTTCTTGTATGAAAACTGTATAGTACATTTTGATCCTCTCAACAGTATAGTCCCGTTCAGCCTTAAATAGATCCTCGCATATCTTATGAAAGTCGATAAACGAGCACGAATTGAGGTCCAAGTGTGGGTACGAATCGACGAACCCCTTTTTCCCCTCATTGCCTAACGAGAAAAAGAGTCTCGACTTCAGACGCGCTTCTGCCTCATGTTGGCACCAACCGTGTCCTATCCGAGGACCTTTACGTCTCCTCTCCGCATTTTATTTGTACATTCGCCTGTTCGCAGCTGCTTTTCTAAGATCTCTACTGGCAGCCTCTGTTGCATCCTCTGACGGTCCCGGAGCTTCGGGTTTAGGATACGGTTCGTCCACTAGATTAGCACGAGCCACTAACACCTCCCCTGGCGAAATGTTATCTTTTAAGCTTATGGCCAAGAAAATTGTCCCACCCATGCCTCCCAAAGGAAAGGCGGATTAACCAATGATTTGACCTAACATGAAGGGATTCCGAGTAGGTCAGTCCTGTCTTCATCCTTAGGTTGCAAAGGGAAAACTTGAATGTAAAAACTGAATAAATATTAAAAAGAATAGAATAGAGAATATGGATTTAGAGCTTCCAGAATTGAATATGTTTTAGAGAGTCCTTTTTAACAACTTGAATTTTTTTACCTCAGGCTTTTGCAACAGATCTTGCAAAAAACGTAGTTGATAAACATATAGACTGGTCGACAGTGTCCTTGAACAATTTACTGCACTAAATGAGATCTAAGATATGATTATACATAGAGATATAGATAAATAGATAAACTAGAGTGAGGTACTGAAGGTCGCCTCAAAACAATTAACAAGTTATCTGTAATTTCAGGTTTTCTGAAATTGAAACCTGAGCCCTATACTTTTAACTGAATGAGTTGGCAACCGACGACTCAAGCATAAATTAAATTAAGAAGACATATTATTTCAAAAATAATAATTATAAAAACTATTTAAACAGTTTTTAGATTACATAACCTTTTTGTAGATGGACCTTATGATTATGTCTTTTTAAAATAGTATGGCTTTTTTTTTTGCTTGAGTCCATTAATTCAGAATAGTTTCGCCAGGTTTACATACATCAGATGGGGTTCTAAAACTTTTGCTTTAATTGGTTCTTTAGTTCCGATTAGTCTGTGGGCGTGAGTTCTACCGCAGAATCGACAAGTCTGCGTTCGCTTTTGGACAGTGCATCGGCGCTTTCCTGTTCGGCTATCTTGGCGACAGGTATTTCATTTGATACAACGAGCTTAATCAACCATTGAAAACTCTCGTAATAAGGTCATATGAAAAAATAGGAGTTTCGCAGCTCTTATCAAATGCATCTCAGACGATTTTTTATGATCTTCGAAAAAATATATATTTTTGAAAATGCGTTTCAGGAAATGATAATTTAAATTAGTCGTAAGAGTTAGCGCCAACATTTTAGATCTTCAAAAACAAAGTAAACTTAACCTTGAATTTGCAATTAAAATAACTTTTCAATCGTGGAGCTTCCTTGTCTTCTAGTTCCACCATAGCATGATATCGTTGAAGTTGCGCACCAAAAGAATTTGGTTCGGTTTACAATAACTAACACGCCAGCAGATCCTGCTGTTTTTTGATCTCTCACTATGTGCTTTTAGTCAGAATGAGGCGCTATTTTAGGTTTGGTCGGAAGCGGGTGCTGACTATCCAGTTTCTGATTGAGATCCCCTTCATCGTGGCCATGTCTTTCAGCAACAACATGCAGGTCATCATAGGACTCCGATTCATTATCTCTGTGTTTAACATGGCCAAATACCCTCTAGCTGTCACCTACGGTAAATTACATTGCAATCTCTTTTGCAAAGTAGTACGAATCTCGGATAAATTAGTAGAGAGTTAAGCACTCTCAAATAAACACCTTCGACCCAATAATCTATGTTGAGAAACTAGCACAAACCAAAAATACAATTAATTTTTGCCAAAAAATTACAAAACTCCTTAAAAACGTCCGGCATAAAAGTTAGCGGCGGAAAAATAGGTTTTTTGTTTAAGAGTTGGATTTGTCCAAATTTTCAATTTTATTTGAACTTGCCTGCCGAAAGTCCCCGAATGAAATAGTGAAGCTGTGCTCATTCTGCATTCGTAGAATTGAGCCTGTTCCATGTTTTCGCAGGATTGGAGACTGTGCTTCCCTCCCACAGGAATGTGATGGGTATCATGCCTGGCATGGTGTATGGGATTGGCATGTCCTTCTACACTATACTGGCTTATTTCATCCGCACTTGGCGCATCTTCACCACCACTGGCATGTGGTTCTGCATGCCAGTCATGCTCTACTGGTTGTAAGTATCGTAAAATTTTGCATGCAGGGATTGAACTCCACTGTTGCTTCATACGCTTATATAAATATCGGTTTTTTGGTCATACAGAATGCAGTGCTTTTGAAATAATCGTGAGGATATTTGAAAACTCTGAAAATAGCTTAAACTTAGATCCTGTCTTGAAAAATTGCGACACTACCGTCTACCCGTTCCTTAAAATAATCCGCTGTGAAATATCCGCTGTGAGAGCAAACCGTTTTCTGGTTGCAAAATTTAATTTACAAAAACTGTTCTCCGGGAATCATGGCAGGATTTTTCTTTAGGATCCTACTTCCAGAGAGTCCTCTATGGCTCATCAAAGCTCGGAAGTTCCGAGAATTCAAACGATCAGTTGATAACATGGAAAAGAGAACAGGCAAGAAATTCGACACCAAATTCCAGCTCAAACTGGGAGAGTTAGTTGAACGGGAGCCAGAAGAGAGAAGCTACTGGAATTTTTTCAAAGATGGAGTGGCTTGTAAGAGGAGGGAGTATGTGGACGAAGCTCATGAGGAACTGCACATGAGCACGTACATGAAGTTGAAGTTGATCTTCATGAACCATCTATTGAGGCGCTGGTTGATGATACACTGCTGTGTCTGGTAAACCATTGTTCAAACATTCAAACGGTGCTTGAAGTTTGAAGCTATGTAAATAAACTAAGAGTTCGAAGGGTCATTACAGATGTTACAAGAGACTGTAACCGAAGTCGGCAGCGAGTTTTTCTTCTTGCAAATATTTATAATTTTTTTTTATTTTGGACAAACTCTCACATCAAATCAAAGCCCGAGTCAAGATTCAAGCAGATAGTCAACGTCTTTTTATCTCCGTTTTAGGTCTGCAACCATGGTGTTATATTATACCCTGACTATGGGCCAGGATCTGTTCGACCTCAACCTCTACAGCTTCACATTCATGATAGGCTTCTTCGAGGTGCCCGGAACTCTTCTAACTATGCTCATTGTGAACAGAATGGGCAGAAAACCCACTCTGATCTCAGGCCTAATTCTATGTGCTGCATGTCTCATGTTGTGCTACTTCTTCAATGGTAGGTCATAGGTCAATAGTGCAATCAAACCATTGAATGAGCTTTGCCAGCCCAAAGTGTGTCTCTTATGACTCGCGATGGTTCTCTTGTTTTTGTAAATATCTGATATAAATCAGTAATATGCTGTAATCACTAGAATAGTATCTAATAATCGCGCCAATTCTGTAAGGTGTACGCGGAGGTTTTTTCTTTATAATTTTTTCGGGAATCTCTAGTTATGTTTTTTCAAAATCGATGTACAAGTTTAACAAGTCCTATATTTTTCGACGGGTTGTAGCTAACCCTTCGTTTTAAATCTGCTAGAATCTGTTTTCAAGATATTATTGTCTTCTCTGTATTTAGGCAACAAACTAGTTCTTCTGGTGTCGGCCTCTTGCGCGAAGCTGTTCGTCACAGGAGTGTTCGCACTCATCTACCTCTACCTCGGCGAGTCCATGCCCACCCTCTCACGCACCACAGGCAAGATACGCACAACCTATGAGTAGTCAAAACAAACAATCCATCCATATATGCTCTTTCATAACTTGATGTAACAGTACCGAATGTTCACTACCTTATAGGGGAAAAGAATGCAGGGAAACGGTGTCAATACGAAGCGAAGGACCCAAATTCGAGCGCTTCAGCTCAATGCGGCAAAAGACTGGTGTGCTTTTTAAATGACACACCTAAATGCAACTTTTCACAAGGATAGCTGGTTATTTTGCCAGTAGCACAGAATGTTCCGACCAGTCATGAAAAATTGTAACATTTTTTTCCAATTTTGTTTTCAAATTAATGTCGTTTTCTCGAGCGGGGGGAACCAATTGATTTTCCGAGCTCTCCTAAAGCACTAAAAAGACGCTGTTTTGGCCAAAATTGACAAAAAAATTGCCCGTTTTTGGGCCCTTTTTTGAAAAGTTTGACAAAAAAGTTGCTATTTTTTGGCGCGCGCTCCCCCTCAAAATTAATAATATAAAATTTTGGGGTCGGTCGACCAAAAGTAGATTTCCTTAAAAGTACCAAAGGGGGAAACCTTTGGGTCGGCAGGGGTTCGAATCCCTGAGGGGGGGGGGGGGGGGGGGGGAGGTCGTCGGCCCCTTCCGCCCTCCCCTCTAAATCCGCCCCTGCTCAAGCATTTTCATCAGTCATTGGAAAATATGCAAATTGGAAAGCAATTTTTGAAGACAAAAAAATCAAAGTTTAAATTTTTTTCCCAAATTTTTCAAGTTTTTGATTAATAATAAAATGTAATAATTTGAGTAATAAAATGAAGCTAAAAACTCCAAAAACTTACTTCATTTGAGAAAACTAAAATTTTAAGGCTTAAACTAAGCATAAATAAGCTAATATAAGAATACTCACTCGCTCGAAATTAGATGAAAAATCAAAAATTTTAAACCGGTTTTTCTCGACAACGATTTTTTCCGACCTAGGCACCTAGATTGGAGGTCGAGACGGAAGCTATGTCTAAATCGGTCCCTTGTATTAACTGACTCGAATATTTATATACTGTTTATTCCAGCTGTCGGTTTTGCGTCTGCTTTCTGCCGTGTTGTGGGATGGCTTTTCCCTTTGTGGACCTGCTGAACTCCTACATACCAGGGGCCAGTCTCATTTTCATGACGTCACTAGCCCTACTCAGTGCATTCCTCAGCTTCTTCCTCCCGGAGACCAGTGGACAGAAACTACCAGCCACTCCTGAAGATTGCGAATTGATTAGTAAAGGACAGTGGAAGGAAAACATTGACATAGAAGTGGAACTAACCTAAAAGTAGCTTCTTAAATTGTTACTTTTCAGAATATATATGAATAGTTGACAATTTCTTACTTAGAAGTGAACCAGGTATAACCAAGGGCTTTAATCTGAGCTTTCAGCGCTTTATTCTGATATACATAGACTTGTATTCTGAGCAATGAAAGATGATATTTCATAGATAAAGAAAAATATATGTAGAAAAAAAATCTGATGCTTTCTTTGATTGTTATGTTTCTACCAGAAGTATATCTTCACCGAAATTAAAATGCTGCAATTTTTTTTGCCACAATTGCAACCAAAATTTTGTCCCACAAATAAGCCATTTTGGCTTTTTTAAATAACCAAGTATTATGCTTAAACTACTGAGCTAATAAATAGGAGACTTAAATCAAATGAAGCCTCTTACCCAACCTAACAAAAATTTAGAAGAGTACAATCTCAAAAACTTTGAGGAAAACGTTCAAAAATTGTTTTTTACGAGCTTAATTTTGAGTAAAATGACATTTGTCGACTGTCAAGCTGACGGTCTTATAAATTAGGTTTATAAATTTGATTCAATTGAAAAAATTTAAAAAAAAACTTTTTCTCATTTTTCATAAGAACCAACGTCTACAAAAAGCATAAAATATAAGCAAATTAGATGCACCTTCGAAGACAAAATGGAGGAACAAAAGGGATTAGATTTAATTATAATTGATCTCATTGGGTTTCTGAGCAAAACTAATGAACTAGAAAATTGAATAAAAATAATGGATTATAATCAATTATAATCGATTATAATTATATCGAAAAATAAACAATTAAATAATTGATTCTAATCGATTAGAATGGATTATAGTTACTTATCCTTTAATTTTTAAAAGAGAGAATTGATTATTAATAGATACCCAAAACTTCTACATGTAAAAAATTCTAGCGAAAAAAACTTCTTCATGCTTTAGATAATTTTTAAAACGTGTAACCTAATGATATTACTCTTTCAGTTTCCCAAAACCTCCCGCATCCAAGTTTAGGCGTAAGTAATCGATTATAACGAATAAATTTGATGATTTTTGATAATTAAAATTGATAATAATTACCAAAATTAGGTGTTTAAAAGATTTATAATTGATTATAATCGTGATATTTTCCAAGAGATTATAATCTTTTATAATCGATTATAACTGATTATAGTTCTTACAAAAAACCCTTATAATCTATTCTAATCGATTATTATCGATTATAATCTCTTATTTTGCCAAAATGTTGTCAGTTCAAAACACCATTTTAATTACTTCTTATTGGTTAATATTTTTATTTCAATAAAAAATCTCTCAAAGAGAGACCTCTTGGACACTTTGGTTCATCTGAACACAAAGCTTAAGTCAAAACAAAAAATTCATAAAGATCCTTTCATATTAGTGGAAGATAAAAAATAAATCTTCCGAATCAATCAAGAAATTAAATCATTCTTGCTGATGTTTTATTGGTTAAAAAAGCCTCAAATATGCATCACGAAATAACTTTAATGGGGAAGAATTGAAAAAAAAAACCTTATAACTTTGAATTGATTGGAAAACTCTAAAAACTTTTTCTCATTTTTCATAGAAACCAATGTCTAGAAAAAGCATAAAATATAAACAATGTAGATGCAATTTCGAAGACAAAATCAAAAAACAAAAGGGATTATCATCAATTATAATCGATTATAATGGATTTTTGTGCAAAACAAAAAAATTGGAAACTTGAATAAAAAGAATGGATTATAATCAATAATAATTGATTATGTTTGTATCGAAAAATAGACGAATAAATAATCGATTACCATCGATTATAATGGATTAATTAATTATAATTTGTTTTTAAAAAGAGAGATTATAATCGATTATTAATTGATTAAAATAGATTGTTTCTCAATTTTAGTAAGTCTCGTACTAAAATTGTATTATAATCGAATATTAATGCTTGAAACTGGATACGGGTAAGCAAAAAACAAAGGACATATGAATAACAAACCTTACCCAAAACAGACATAATAGATACCCAAAACTTCTACATGTAAAAAATTCTAGCGAAAAAAACTTCTTCATGCTTTAGATAATTTTTAAAACGTGTAACCTAATGATATAACTCTTTCACTTTCCCAAAACCTCCCGCATCCAAGTTTAGGCGTAAGTAATCGATTATAACGAATAAATTTGATGATTTTTGATAATTAAAATTGATAATAATTACCAAAATTAGGTGTTTAAAAGATTTATAATTGATTATAATCGTGATATTTTCCAAGAGATTATAATCTTTTATAATCGATTATAACTGATTATAGTTCTTACAAAAAACCCTTATAATCTATTCTAATCGATTATTATCGATTATAATCTCTTACTTTGCCAAAATGTTGTCAGTTCAAAACACCATTTTAATTACTTCTTATTGGTTAATATTTTTATTTCAATAAAAAATCTCTCAAAGAGAGACCTCTTGGACACTTTGGTTCATCTGAACACAAAGCTTACGTCAAAACAAAAAATTCATAAAGATCCTTTCATATTAGTGGAAGATAAAAAATAAATCTTCCGAATCAATCAAGAAATTAAATCATTCTTGCTGATGTTTTATTGGTTAAAAAAGCCTCAAATATGCATCACGAAATAACTTTAATGGGGAAGAATTGAAAAAAAAACCTTATAACTTTGAATTGATTGGAAAACTCTAAAAACTTTTTCTCATTTTTCATAGAAACCAATGTCTAGAAAAAGCATAAAATATAAGCAATGTAGATGCAATTTCGAAGACAAAATCAAAAAACAAAAGGGATTATCATCAATTATAATCGATTATAATGGATTTTTGTGCAAAACAAATAAATTGGAAACTTGAATAAAAAGAATGGATTATAATCAATAATAATTGATTATGTTTGTATCGAAAAATAGACGAATAAATAATCGATTACCATCGATTATAATGGATTAATTAATTATAATTTGTTTTTAAAAAGAGAGATTATAATCGATTATTAATTGATTAAAATATATTGTTTCTCAATTTTAGTAAGTCTCGTACTAAAATTGTATTATAATCGAATATTAATGCTTGAAACTGGATACGGGTAAGCAAAAAACAAAGGACATATGAATAACAAACCTTTTTATATCTTAGAGAGATTCAAATTAGTTGGATAAAATCTCACTTAGTGGTTACAAAGACGGCTCTTATCAAGACAAAGTCCTGAATGGTTCGACAACACAACCTGTTCTCAACTTGTTACTTTTATCTCTCACAAAGGTTAGCAGTTCTCACGATGGAAGGACCCAGTTCGGGAAAATTTTCAACTACTCTAAATTGTTAGACATTTGCACAAAATTAAAATAAGCAGAGAATGAAACTTAACTGTTTTCGAGTCAATTTTACTTTTTTTCTTCTTTTTTTTAAATCAGTAACATTTAACTAGTAAGTTTTATCCAAGGCGGCCTAGATCTGACATTGTATTTGACAACTCATTGTCGACTTATTTTGCAATGAGTCAATTTGAGTTTTAATGGCCGGGATTTATTTGCTTAATTTGCTATTTTTGAGTTTTCTTTGAATTTTTTGAACAACCTGTTCTGACTGGCTGAAATTGGTTTTCTTCCGATCTTTCGGTCTCCCCATCATAGGGACGCCACCCTCTCAAAGGCTTATATCAGGGGGGAAGTATTGTAATCAGCTTCATGCACGGACAAAAATGACAGAGTAGCATACTTCGGCAAGTAAAAAAAATGAGTGAAAGTAAATTCACCAAGCATAAATGTTTTTCAAAACGCGCTTGAAATAATTCAAAAACACCGCCTAATTTGCACTTTTGAAAGTTATAAAACACAGCTAAAATAAAAGCAGGTGCTTTCTTGATAGTACGTCGAATAAATTTTCGCAGGGAGTCGATAGTGGGTTTAAAATGTTCTTATCTGCATTCGTCTATAAATTTTCAAGAAGCGAAAGTATTTATTCCACTCGGAAAAAATCCAGACTAAGAAAAATTATTATGCTTTTTCTATAATATTTCTTAAAAATGATAGCATAGCTTCCGTCAACATTTTGTAATAGCATTCGAAAACCGAAAAAAAAACATATATCTGAGCTAATAGATTTTGGTTGCGCAGAAAAGTAGCATGTAAAATTTAACAATGGACTAACAAACTCATGAGTTTGGAGTTGAGATAATGAGTGCAATAGCTAGTTTCAGACTATGATAAATGATGAACGTAGAAACAATGGTGCATAGGCATATGTGTCGCACAAATTTGTGTCCTTGACAAAACAGTCCGAAATTAAAAAATTGTACCAGACATTCATGTCCCAGACAAAATTGTCCGAAACTGTTTTGCAAAATTAATTTCTTTGATTTGACTTTGTGACCTTCAATGCTTTGTTTTTTTGAGGTTTTTTGCTCGTTCTTTAATTAGATTTTATGCGTACCAATTAGCCATTGAACAGTCAAAGTGATATTAAACTTTCAAGAACAATTTGAAATTTACAAGCCCTTTTGGCCGAGCGATGAAGTTTCAAACTGAGACAAAGGGGAAGTCAAAAAGAGAATAGGATGGGAAAAGCTTAACTACATTGATTCGGACTTGCTCGTGGAATTCTAGATCCAGTCTGTAGTTGTACCCAGTAGACTAAATGCAACACCAGACGCTTTGGCTCTCTGGAAGTAGCAGTATTGAACTTGTAATATTTTGGATATTGAATTGAACGCGTTTTTGACCGCTATTTTGAAATCAATGGTGGCTCGTCGGTGAATTTCATTGTCAAAGCAGCTCAAAAGGAAAAAAAAAACGTTTCTTCTTTCTTGTCTGGAAGCAATGCAAAAACAATAGAAATCAGAATTCCCTCGACTGCTACCTGAAAGAACATATCTGAAAGAACATACTAGGGGCCGTAGAAAAGGTGCCATCGCAGAACCAATTATCAGCGCCACTGAGATGATCAAGTCCTGGAAGAGTGGTGAAAACCATTAATCGCTTGGTATCATGAGGTCCAGAGTCAAAATGAAGGAAACGCTCGCCATTGTAGGTCATTTTCAGCAACACTGGCAAGTCGAAATCAGTTAAATTTGGGGTTCCTGCATACTGGACCGTTTTTCTTTTTTTACTCTGTTAATCGTCCTCTGGTTGGCGGAATTGCTCGCAATTACTGCTGCAGTCTCTCTGTTGATATTTCT